AGCGACACACTGCGTTTACACCAGCATGTTTCGCGCTCCCCAGTGGCGGAAAGCTCTTTCCCGTATACTACATTTGGACTACAAAGGCCACGTCTGAGTCCAGCTCCAAAACCGTTTCGTACGAGACCTCCTCCAAAAGTGAAGCGCCAAGTCTCCAAAACGAGCGTTTCGCCAACAGTCTCCAAAACCCGTGTTTCGTACGAGACGTCCTCCAAATTAAATGTGATGCGCCAAGTCTCCAAAACGAGCGTTTCGTACAAGACTTCCTCCACAAGCGAAGCGCCAAGTCTTCAAAACGAGCGTTTCGTACGAGACTTCCTCCAAAAAAAAGTGAGGCGCCAAGTCTCCAAAACGAGCGCTTCGTACAAGACTTCCTCCAAAAGTGCAGCGCCAAGTCTCCACAACGAGCGGTCCCCGCAGAGGGCTGCCTCGTGCGCCAAATCCAAAACGCGATCTCACCTGCATTTCGTGCCTTCGACACGCGCGATCTCCGCAGAGGATTGCGCGGGACAAATCAAAAACGCAATCTCACCTGCACTTCGCGCCTTCGACGCGCACGATCTCCGCAGAGGGTTGCGCCGGACACGGCAGAAACGCAATCTCACCTGCATTTCGCGCCCTCGACACGCACGATCTCCGCAAAGGGTTGCGCCGGACAGAGCCAGAACGCAATCTCACCTGCATTTCGCGCCCTCGACACGCACGATCTCCGCAAAGGGTTGCGCCGGACAGAGCCAGAACGCAATCTCACCTGCATTTCGCGCCCTTGACGCGCGCGGTCTCCGCAGAGGGTTGCGTTTCGTGGTGCTCCGACGGCGCCGCCCCCGCCTTAAGAGAGAAAGAAAAGAAGAGCGAGAGGTGAAGATGTGAGATGCGCAGATGTGAAGATGTAGATGTAGATGCGCAGATGTGAAGATGTGAAGATGAGCAGAGCTGTAGATATGCAGATGTGAAGATGAGCAGAGATGTAGATGCGCAGATGTGAAGATGAGCAGAATGTAGAGATGTGCAAACGTAGAAGATGTGCAGAGATGTAGATGCGCAGATGTGAAGCTGAGCAGAGAGGTAGAGATGCAGGCAGATGTGAAGATGAGCAGAGATGTAGATGTGCATGTGAAGATGCGCAGATGTGACGATGTGATGATGTAGATGAGACGTAGTTCTACAGATGTTTTTTACGAAGAACCCTTCGCAGACGCTCTCGGGAACACATCTAATGGCAGTGGTTAGAGCCAGGTGTTGCCCAAGGAAAACTTCGACAGTATGCCTTATTGAAAAACACAAAAAATGCTTGTTCAAGTAACACACCCTTTTCTACTAAGCTAGACGTTGATTACATATGTGTTGCAACCGTTTCAATGTACTGGTTGACAGAGTTTCTATTTCCAAAAGCTTTTTGTTTCGAAAAAGACTGGTTTTCAACAACAAAGAACAGAGGAACTTCGCCTGGGAGGGGACGTGGGCTCGCTCAGCTTTGCAAAGTGCGGCGAGCGTATGAAGTCAGTTGATTTCTTCAAATAACGCCTTGCAACCTTTCTCACTCGTGTTGAAGTCACTCAGCTCCGTCGCCTGATACATGCGCTGCAGGCTTTCCACGCGCAAAGTACTTGGTGTAGGCTCTCGATTCTATCTAAACATTTCTAGAACTGTCCATGCGTGATTTGGCAACACTGCTGTCAACAGAGATGTCACCAATTGAATCACAGACAGCAACCATGAAGGAATCTGATTCGTGAAAGGCCGCAGCATCACCCTGAAATTGCTTGCCTGCCAGTCGGCAAGACAAGTTGGAGCCTGGATGCGCGCCACGCTCCCTCCCAAAAAAAGGGCCGCGTTGCTCTGGCGTGAAAGCTTCTCAGAAGCTTTGAAAGACACGTGCTTTTCCACCTGCCGCCCATCTGGTGTTTTGCCCAAGTTTCCCATTTTCACGAAATATGGAACAGCCAAGCTATCGTCTTCAGACTGGCAATTTGCCACCCGCATAGTAGTGCGGTTGCTTTGTCTACCACTGCCAAGAAGCACCTGTTGCACCAGACTTGGTGGAAGCCAATGCAACGGCTTGAGGCAGATGAACAGAAAAGGCAACAACTGGAGCCGCCTGGATTGCGTCTGCGTTCTCCCCCGGGTGCGTTTGGCACACGTGGATCTTTAACCAGTAAAGGACATGTGAAAAAAGAACAAGCGTCCTCCTGAACCACGTCTTCTTTAAGTCTTCTCCACGCCCTGAAATTTCATCGCTCCATTTTCACCTTTTTCAAGACTTGACATTTGGGACAATGAATGTCGACGCAAGTTCTCCACAGTCGGAATATCTGTGGCTCGGCTCTATTGTTGCTGCTGCCACGACAGCGCTGCTGGAATTCAGCCGCTGGCTTATCACTTTTCCCCGGTGCTCAAATTTTAACCCATGTGCCACTGTAGCAGTCATAGCCCTGTATCTCTCAGCGTGGAACTGCTCTATGTAGGCGCAAAGCCAACGGCAATGATGGGAGTTTGCTGCTGACAGGGCCTTTGGGCTTCCTCCACTGGTAGAAGTGGCGCGCTTTGCGCCCATCGTTGAGAGAAGAAGTTTTGTTGGGCGAGGTTGCTTGGTCGCTTCGCCTGGCAACGCAGACGATATGGGTCGCCGGTGTGGGGCAGAGGATCTTCATATACTTGCGTGAGCTTATACTGTAGCTGCCATACTTTTTGGATTGGGCTTGCGCTTCGGATTGAAACACGCCAACAAAAAAAGCAGCACTCTTTTCACGTTGCGCTGGTCACCCCTTTTCCAAGAATTTCTGCGCAAGCAAACCGTTCTTCGGGACAACCCTTCTTCAGAGCAAGTTTGCTTCAGGTCACTTGCTTCCCCTTCTGATCCTTTTTTCTGTTCTCGTCTTGTCTACTTCACGCCACTGTTCTTGCTCCCTTTCTGGTTGCATTTTCAACCCCTGCGTTAGCCTCGGGCTTGACATAGTTGGGGGCGACAACCTGGTAGAGCGTGACAAGCTATCCGGCTTCAAGACGCGCAACATGAAACACTTGCACATCACGGAGCGTCGGCATCAAACCAGTCACGTTTTTGTTGAAGCCTTGATAGCCGGAGCCATTGGTCGCGTTGCTGGACATGTCATAATTTCTCGTACGTTTGGGGCCTGGAGGTCTGAGCTTGATGCCTGGACGCCCGTGCGGGATAAAGAAACCAATTGCGAAAAGAAGAGGGTTCACAAAACCACTGCATATTGCTTTTCATCCGGTTCCTTTTCTGCTCCGTTTTGCAATCCTTCTTCTTCCAATTCCTTTCTGGCGTCGGGTTTTCCCACCTCACCCTCAAGGGGAAGGAGATCATCATCGCCTCTAGGCTTCTTTGTGGGAGCAGAGCGGAGCAGCGCGTCTTGAACACCACATAGCGGTGAGCAATTCAGACGCTCATCTTTTGCGAGCAAGGTTCCGACGCGCTCTCCGCAAGGGTAGGGCCAGAAACCATTGCAAAAAAAGAACAAGCTGTCCTCTCTTCATGTTTTTCAAAACTTTCTTGGTGAACCTGAACCTTTGCACGAGCCAAATCAGCTGGGCTTCTGCACCGTCCAACCCAGGCCAGGTAGCATATGCTTCACAAATCTTTGGGAGCACAATGCGACCTTTTGCTTCAAGAACTTGTGTTTTGTTTTGAAGAAGGGGTCCGCGCCTGCCACCTTCGGGTGAAAACAGACATGGAAACTCAGAGCTTGGTGCTAGTTTTTGGCTATAGGGTTCCGATCCTTCATCAAACTCTTCTTGCCAAAAAAATTGGTCTGAATACCATCCACCAGGGCTCAGCCTGACACAGGGCTTTGCAAGGACCATGCACAATGGTCACAAAGAGCTGCCCTAGCACACAAAACAAAGCGATGGAGCACACACCGCCCGTCCCCCTACGCAAGCTGTTTGTTTAAAATGTCTCTACACAACGCCACGACAAAAGCTCCCTGGTCCTCTACCATGGGCTGGTTCCTGGTCCTTTTTCAGGGCTTGGCGCCTTTCCGAAAAATCAAAAATTTGTGAGTTGGGCACAGAAGCTTCAGAGCCATCACCCCAGTGCCTCCCACAAAGCAGCACCTTGTTGTACTAAGTGAGCAAAGTCTGGGTCACCATAGCCAAGACTCTATTTCAATCTTCCTGCTTTTTCTGCCATGGCATGCACCTGTTCAGTGACGACAACTCTCTCAAGGCTAACCCTGTTGCAGGGCCCTGTTCAGACGTTTGCTTTGAGCCTTGTGCAAAGCTGTCCCCCAAACACGAGACGACAGCGAGAGCCCTGCTGGAACCAAAACTGGTGTAGTTGCGGCTTAGCGGAATATCTTACAAACTCTGGAGAAGGTTGCTCATATCTTTTGGGGATGAAGTTCTTGACGCCAAAACCAAGAACCCTCTTCTTAGACAGTTTTTGAAAGCACAGGCACCCTTAAGCATGCAAACAGACAACATGTCTTGTTGAAATCACTGTTAAAACAAGCAAAACTTGGCCTGAAAGAAACAAACAAAGATGTTAAAGTATGTCAATGAGCCTTTGTTTCAATGCGGTGATGAGTGTTTTGAACCTTTCAGTATTTTCAGTAAGGCATACTCTTCGCTTTGACTCTGACATCATTCAACGCTTCAGGGAAGGATCGACCCTTCATTTGCAATAAGTGCCTGCTTTTGCGGAGGGATGCTTTTGTGGAAGGCATACTGAAACAAGTTAAGTTCTTCAAGAAACATTACAGTACATTCCCAGGTCCCCTTCCCATCCCAGCGCCCCTTGCCGATGGACAACTTTCCTTTGTTTAGGGGCAACAACGCACGCAATGAGAAAGGCCCCCAATAACTTACCGCGCGCCGTGAAAGCCAACCACGGTAGCACCCGGAGTCGGTCAACCATTTCCAGTTCAACAACTTTACTGCATAGAAGTAAAATTTTTGCGCACATGTGAAGGCTGGGCTACTTTCCAAGCACTTTCCTTACAGTTCTTGCCGATCTTTGGTTTTGGCAGGCCTCAAAGCCAGCGGAGGTGATCCACTTCCGGATGTGCGCCATGTTCTGATCGTAGATTGAAGTCAATCCATACTTCCTCGCGAAGCCGCCAACAAAGAAGGTACAGCGTTGGCACCTGCTAGGGAGACTGTCAAAGAGCTGCTGCCATAATGGCTTGTAGATGCAGACGTCCATTGGGAGCTTGGTGTGCCTGAGAACTGACCGACAGACGTATTAGACATCACGACACCAACTGACAAAACTTGAGACCTCGATCATTCCACTACCATAAGTTTGGAGCTATAAGCTTGCCAGCTCTGAGGCCACGAGCCGGATCCCGCGCAAGCACACCCGATCCTGCGGAGACCACATCTGAGGGCACCTCTCACAGAAGCTGCTTCCCCACTACATTTGTGAGCTCTGAGGCCACGAGCCGGATCCTGCGAGAGGGTCGCGCAAGCACACCGGATCCTGCGGAGACCAATCTGAGGCCACCTTAACTATAAGCTTGCCAGTTCTGAGGCCACGAGCCCGATCCTGCGAGAGGCACGCCAGATCCTGCGGAAACCACATCTGAGGCCACTTCACACACAAGTCCCGTATACAACATGTGTACTGTATAAGCTTGCCAGCTCTGAGGCCACGAGCCGGATCCTGCGAGAGGGTTGGGCAGGCATGGGCAGAATTTGCACGCCGCTACACGTTTGGGCACTCGACCCGCCGGATCCTGCGAGTCGCCCAACCATGGGCAATTTCAGATTTGGCTACACGTTTGAGGACTCGAGGAACCGGAGCACCGGTCAAATTTTGATTCCGCTACACGTTTGGGCACTGGACAGGCCGGATCCTGCGGTCAAATTTGCGTTTCGCTACACGCTTTATCGCTCGACCAGCCCGATCCTGCGAGAAGGTACAACCACAGAATTCGCATTTCGCATCGCCCGAGCATGGGTCAAATTTAGCTATACACGTTTGGGCCGTTTGGGCACTCGACAGGCCGAATCCTGCGAGAGGGTTGCTTCTCCCGTTCTCTCGCTTAGTCCGCCCCAGCTTGAAAGATAATTAAGTGAAAGAGCGAGATGTCAAGACAAAACTTGGTCAAGTCTCTCGCAAGTGCTAAAACTTGGTCAAGTCTCTCGCAAATGCTAAAACTTGGCCAAGTCTCTCGCAAATCCTGAAACGTGGTCAAGTCTCTCGCAGATGCTAAACCGTGGTCAAATCTCTCGCAAATGCTAAAACTTTTTCAAGTCTCTTGCAAATGCTAAAACTTGGTCCAGTCTCCTGCAACTGCAAAAACGTGCAGAGAGCGAGCAAATGACGTACATCTTAATTTTGTCTTTTTCTGTCACTTGCAGCCACTTGCAGCCACTTGCTCAGGTTGCCACTTGGCAGTCACTTGCAGCCACTTGTCACTCAAGCGTGTAAATTTCAACACTGTACTTTGAGATCTTTTTGTAAAAACTGTACGATTTCTTCGTCGCTAGCTCTGCAGAAGTTTGGAATTTGTTTTCGGAAAAGTCTTGGATTATTTCATGATTTCTCCGAGCGCAGCTCGGGAGAAACCGGAATTTCTTCGCAGAACAGCATTGCAGAATTCTTGGTTTTCTTCAGAACTGCGTGCGGAGAAATCATGATATTCTCCGGGCAGAAGTAGCAGTCACTTGCAGCCACTTGCAGCCACTCGCAAGTGGCTGCAAGTGGCCAAAAATGGAAAATCAAAGCGCGCACCTCCTGCGAGCTCGAAGAAAACTTGGTCAAGTCTCCTGCAAATGCAAAAAATTGGTCAAGTCTCTTGCAAATGCAAAAGCTTGATCAAGTCTCTTGCAAGTGCTAAAGCTTGAGCTAGACAGACCAAGCGCTAAAGATTAATGAAGGCTCTTGCAAGTGCCAGACTCTTACCAGCGCTAAAGCCTGATCTAGACAGACCAAGCGCTAAAACTTGATCAAGTCTTTGCAAGCGCTAGACTCTTACAAGTGCTGAAGCTTCAGCTAGACAGACCAAGCGCCTTTAGGAAGGGCCCTTCAACCAAGTCTTTTGGGGGAAAGGTCGCGCTGCTAGCTAGTGACTGTAAGCATCCTCATCGTCACGATCATCTTCGTCGTCATCACCATCATCATCCTACCACATCAGCATCATCATCCTACCATCATCATCATCATCATCATCATCATCTCCTGCCGCGCTTTCCGGCCAGTGATCTGGTCTTCGTCGTCTTGCCAAACTTCTTGACCTAAACCCTTTGTGTGTGGGAGGGGGAACAGTGACAACTCACGTGGCCCCATGAGGAAAGTGACAGGTACACGCGCGGATTGATTGGGCCCTAAAAACAAAGAGCGGCGCTGCCCCAAGGAACTCTGCCTTTTTCACGTAGGGGCTTGATCAAGCTGCGGCGTCCTATAACGCACCACCGACGGCCATGCTTCACATTGGGCAAAGAGGATGTTGGCGCGTTTGGACTTCGTGCGTCCGCAGCTTTTCTGCGAATTGAGCGTCGCTGACACTGACGGCTTTGCTATTTGCTTTTGATGGGGCCCCCATCAGTTTGGAACGGGTCTTACGCAGTTCGCTGGCCCCTCCTCAGCATCTTGCGATGTTCCTCTGAAGCCTGCTGCGCAGCGGTCTCCTGCTTCGCAGTGAAGTATTGGTTCTGCATTGCTTTTATATGCCGTTTGCCCGTTGTCTGTGGGTCGGTAACCCGTATAGAGCTTGAAGATCTCTGGTTCAGCGTTGTTTGCCTTTCTGACGGATATGGCCCGTCGGGTTTTTGTGAAGGGTCGCTCCAAGTTGCGATTTTCCAAACAGTTTGCTTCCCTAAGAGAGAATCAAAGTATACCACCACACTGGGCGCCGGTGCCTGCTACCCGAGCACAGGGTAGAAGGCAAGTCGACACCACACAGAGCCAGACCCTTCAGCAACAAAATCTTCCTTCAATCGCAGGGAACACAATCAAGATCTGCACAGACGACTCGGCTACGTGGAAGGAGGCGACACATTGTGAACTGAAGGTATCCACATCAGCAAACACGGTGAGCAGAAAGCCGCGCAATAAATCTCGCATCACAGCACAGCTAGCAGCTAGAATGAACAGTCCCCAACACACAGGACATGCTTGAACCTCTTGAGATAACGCCATCCACACGAGGATGTAGCGAGGATAGACACCATATAAAGTGTTCAAGATATCACTAATCACCGTAGCACGGACCGCCTCAGCATCAGCTGAAGAAAAAGCGCAGCGAGGAGAAGGCAACCCACTTGATCGAGCGTTGTCAAACGGCCCTCCTCATTGCTGCTCAAAATCACAGCGCAAGGCTGGGCGTCCGTCAGCTCACACGAGGATAAAATACGAAGGCATGCTTCAGCCCGGCAACACTGAGACACCAGCGTGAACACCAGAATGAACCAAGTGAAGAGAAGGATGGTTAAACTGGTTAAGCTGAAGTCTGCCACCAGTTCAGTAAGTGGGGAAAAGTTCAAGAAGATGAGTCTGAGGGCAGGAAACACCCCTTGCAGCATCAACATCAGTTGAGACAAAGGCAAAGGGACAAGATCCAAAGTGTATCACGGTACTGAAGGGTAGGGAAGAATGGCGCAAGCAAAATACCACACAAGGTGAGCTGTAAGGCGGACATCAAACGTGCAATGACACACCTCGCTGACTCTCTCTATCTCCCCGGAAACGCTCGTAGAGAGCCAGGTCGTAAGTGTCCGGTGGGTCCAGCAACTGTGCACCTGGTCGGTGACGGGTAGACTGGCAATTGCTGCGACCATCCAGCCACTGCAGGCGATTGACCACAAGCATTTTGCCATCGTTGGTGATGAAGCTGTTTATATCCTTCCCCGCAGTGTTCAGTCCAGGTGCTCTTGAAGGGGTCGCGGTAGTCGGCCACCTCCTCGTCCTCATCAGCAACCTCGTACTCGGCAACGGCCGTTCCTGTTCCATGGCTCGGTCACGCTCTCAACCATCTGGCCCTGCCAGTCAAGGCGCGACCTTGTCCTTTTCCCACTGGCGGGCTGGCTCTGACAGCGGGGCCTCCGCTCCTTCCCATGAAAACACAGGCCAGCTTTGCAGCCATTCTGACCTTGACCCGCTCTCAGGGTCACTCCCCCGCTGTTAGGGGGCTCCGCTACCAATGGGGAGTGATTGGGCCCAAAGAACTTTGTCTTTTTCACGCAGGGGCTTGATCAAGCTGCGGCGTCCAGAATGCACCACCGATCGCCATGTTTCACGCGTGGAACCCTGTATCTTCTATGAGGGTCTGAAGCCAAGCAAAGAACTCCGTCGGCATGCTCCATGACGCCGGCGCCCCATAGAAGCCTTCTGCAACACGCCGGGAACTTACCTTGGGGATGATTTTGCATCTTTTGTAGTATCTTTCACAACTGCTTTCTGGCTATCTCGGCACTGGAAAAGACGGGTTTCTTCCGTCCTCCAGAGACGGAGGGTTTGCAAACCACGTTGCTCTCGTTTGGGGGGAGCTCTGAGTTGGCGGGTTGGAGACCCTCCAGCCACTCAGGTTTGCGGTTGTTCCCGAAAGCATTGCGAAGGGTTCTTCCGGAAAATTTCTTGAACACTGACACTTCTACACTCACACTCACACACTGACACTTCCACACTTGCACTTGAACACTGACATTTCGCCACGTACACTTGAACGCTGACGCTTTCACACTTACACTTGAACATGAACATGAACACTGACACTTCTATACGTACCCCAGTGTAAGAGTGAAAGCATCCAACGGCAAGTATCCAAGTGAAAGGATGCTGGTGTAATGAGTATGCAATGAGTATGCATGTATGAAAAAAACTTGCACGGGAGATGTCCTAATGAAAAACATTTCACCACTTTCTAAATTCTCTCTTAAAGGCGGAGGGTGGGACGAACAGCGTCAACCGAAAATGCAACCCTCTGCGGAGATCGTGCGCGTCGAGCGCGCGAAATGCAGGCGAGAGTGCGATTGGGTCTGTGCCCCCGCAACCCTCTGCGGCGATCGCGCGTGTCGAGTGCGCGAAATGCAGGCGAGAGTGCGATTTGTCCGGTGTGCGCGCAACCCTCTGCGGAGATCGTGCGTGTTGAGTGCGCGAAATGCATGCGAGAGTGCGAATTGACGTGTTCCCGCGCAACCCTCTGCGGAGATCGCGCGTGTCGAGTGCGCGCAATGCAGGCAAGAGTGCGATTTCTCCGGTGCGCGCGCAACCCTCGAGTGCGATTGGGTCTGTGCGCGCGCAACCCTCTGCAGAGATCGTGCGCGTCGAGTGCGCGAAACGCAGGCGAGAATGCAATTGGGTCTGCGCGCGCGCAACCCTCTGCGGAGATCGTGCGTGTCGAGCGCGCGAAACGCAGGCGAGAGTGCGATTGGGTCTGTGCGCGCGCAACCCACGTGCGAAATGCAGGCGAATGTGCAATTGGGTCATGCAGGCACTGGCGACTTTCTAGTACTACTTTAGTACGCGGAGTATCTGGGGAGCTGGAAGATGAGAACTGGCGACTTTGTAGTACAACTTTAGTACGCGGAGTATCTGGGGAGCTGGAAGATGAGAACTGGCGACTTTGTACTACAACTTTAGTACGCGGAGCAATCTGTGGAGCTGGAAGCTGAGAACTGGCGACTTTGTAGTACAACTTTAGTACGCGGAGTATCTGGGGAGCTGGAAGATGAGAACTGGCGACTTTGTAGTACAACTTTAGTACGCGGAGTATCTGGG